TGTAGCTGTCCAGCCGCTTGCCCAGGTAGCGGATGATCGACCAGGCGCTCCCATAGTTTTTGCCCTCTTTGATGGCATTGGGAATGGTCGAGCGGCAGTAGTTTGCCCAGCTGCTCGGATTGGCGAAGACCTGTCCGGCGGAAGAGGAGGAGGCGGAAACGGAAACCGAGGCGGCCATGCGAATGAAGCCATTTGGCAGGAGGTCGCCGGTGAACTTGCTGCCCAGTATCTCGTAGGTCAGCGAGCCCTCCAGCGGATCGAGGATGCCGTCGTCGACTAGCGTCTTCAGGCTACAGGGTGGGCCGTTCAGCGGCTTCCGGCCGACATGGGTCACCATGGTGGGCATTTCCGGGAGGTTTGAGAAAGATGAGGAAGATAAAGGCGAAGAAGAGGCTGAAGAGGAGTTGTTTCCATTTCCACCACCGCCGTTGTTGTTGTTGTTGCCAGAGATTGGAGAAAAGAGCGACGACCCCTGAAGCAGGCTAAGGTGATTGGGCTGATTTTGGTGGGCGCTGTTTTGGCCTCTTCGACCTCGGCTGCTGCTGCTGTTTGGCGTACTGCTGCTGAAATGAGTTGATCCAAAATGCTGCTGAGATCCTGAACCGGATGTTGACACAGTTCCACTTGGTCGGAGAAAATCAAAGCTGTCCGAGGTGGTCGAGGCGGACTGATTCGCGGCGGCGGCCGCGGCGGAAACGGCCGCAGAAATGGCCGCCAGCAGCGAGGAGTGCTCGCCCCCTACAAAGCTGTCCTTCATTTCTATATCAGAGGTGTTGGAAGGTTGATTTCCCGAAAGTCCTGGTGTGCCCTCCGAGGTGGCCGACACCGAGGAGTGGTTCCGTCCACGGGCCCTGGTGCTCTTTCGTTTTCCTCCACTTCCGGTTACAACTGAATTAGACAGCTCCTCATCAGTGTCGGTGACACTCTTCCCCGAGACGTCGGAAACGGCCGTCTCCTGGCTGGTGTTGCCATCGTTTCCGCCTCCGGTCATCTCCTGATTGCTGCTGGCCGAGGTGGCGGCGCTCACCTCGGAGCAGGCACCCTCTTCTTCCTCTGCAAGAGAGGCATCCAAATCGGCTGAAGATGTTTCCGATTGCTGATGATGATGACTGCTGCTGCTGATTTCCGCAGCCTTTTTCATCTTTTTGGTCAGTGGCGGTGAGGCCTTCTCCGCCTGTTCCACCGCTGCCGGTGATGATTTGGAGCGGCTGGGCAGAGTTGGAGAGAGTAGGAGGACTTTTAGCTCTTGAAGAGGTTCAGTGTCTGCCGGAGTGCTTTTTGATGATGAAGAAGTTTTAGTTGAAATTTTTGAGGGTGATGCTGCTGTTGATACTGAAAGCGGTTCAGAGAGTTTCTTCTTATTACTACTGCTGCTGCTTTTGGCGTTTTCTTCCTCTTCATCATCAGCGCCAGCGGGTCGTTTTTTGGTAGAAGCAGATTTTGGGCTTGCAGTTAAGTTTTCAGCGTCACCTTCCCTTACCTTATCTAACTTTTTATCTGCCTTTTTATCAGTACCATCTGTCTCCTTTGCTTGCTGGCCATTTCTGCTGTTGCTGTCCGGTTTTATTGGCGAAGTTGTTTCTGCTGTTGTTGCTGTTGCTGTTTCCGGTTGATTACTGTCGCTGCCATTGGTGGGAAGCGCTTTGTCCGAGGCGGTGTCCTCGTCATCATCATAGGGCACCAGCTTGAGTTTCACTTCAGACTGAGGCAAAGAAGTGGTCGCTGCTGATGTCCCTTCTGGAACAGAGGGTATCGGTGGTGGTGGTGGTGAAGGTGATGGCGATGCCTGCATGGTGAGGGCCTTCTTCTTGAAGTGTCGAAGACTGCTGCCACCGCCACCACTACTACCACTGCTGCTGCTGCTGCTGTTGTGGATGCTGCTGTTGTTGCTGATGTTGCTGATGTTGTTGCTGTTAGCATTCGGTGAAAAGCTAGCACTGTTTCCGTTTGAGGGTGATGATGCTGAAGCTGCTGCAGCGGCGACGGCCGCCGCCACCGCCGCCAAATTGGCCGCCCCTGGCAGAAATGGCGAGGAGATGGAATTGGCCCCAGGCAGTGAGGCAGCATGGGTCAGCAACGGCAACGGAAGGTTTGCAAGTGATGAGGGTGAGGGTGATGATGAGGATGACTGCTGTTGTGAGTTGCCACTGCTGTGGTGATGACCACTGTTGCCATTGCTGCTGTTTGCCATCTGCTGCTGCTGCTGCTGTTGCTGCTGTTTCAGCAGCATATCCTGCTGCTGCTGACGGGCTAGCTCTCTCAGCTTGGCCACATATTGGTCTGGGGGAGAAGGAGAGAGAGAGAGAGTTGAAAGGGAAAAGGGGTGAAATGGAGGAAAAAAAGATAATGAACGTTATTGAAAAAGGTAGCAAAAGTTTTTAAAGTGCATCTCGGTGCAACAAATAACCGACAAATAACTAGATTGGCTTAAACTAAATGTCACTAAAAAACTAGCACTTTACAAAGCAATCAAGTCCAAACGCTTACAACACAACATTTAATATAGACAGTGCAGAAAAGCAGCAAACAAGTAAATTGCAAACACCAAAACTAGAAAAAAACTAATAATAAACTTTAAGCACTTGCCAGGTAGGCTGCTGCTGCTTTGCATCAGTTGACAGAGCGCCATGTAAGCTAATGAACAAAACAATTGGTCAGTTGATTAGTGTTAGTAGATAAATGGATAAATAGATAGAGATTGGCTTGCGTTCACTAAACTTTAAATAACAACTACAAACATAAACACAGCACAAGGAAATGGACAACGCTGGTTATTTTCGGTTGGCTGTGTAGCTGTACTGAGCAGTTCAACTGGCACAACTCTACTATTGCCCCTAAACACAGTCTACAAAGTTAAGCAACATCCGCTGCCTAGCACTTCATTTTGCGAGAAAAGAGGAAGAAAAAAGGGTGAGGAATATAAAGAAAGCATGGACAGTTTTTTGCTATTTGGCACTGGCACTTACCTTCTGACTGGCAGAGAAGGTCCATGGCCGTCGTCGTCGTCGACGGTTGTGGTTGTTGTTGCTGTTGTTGCTGCTGCTGCTGCTGCTGTCCATTATTGTCTCTACTTTTGTCTCTATTCAGTTGAGTGCCTTCAGTTTCCATGTAGCCACCAGGTGTGTGTTTAAGTTTGTGTCAAATTGAGTAGTAGGTGTGTGTGTGTGTCTGCAAAATTTGTTGATTTGTTGAACCAAGAAAACTTTGACAGTAGTTGCCGAGGCGAATAGTTGAGAACAGGGTAGAAAGAGAGATCAGGTTACTTTTTTTTGCTGAGACGGTCACGTTTTTTGGTAGTCCACTGGGAAAAGTGAGTGCTCAAAATGGTCAGAGTGGTTGAGGTAATAAACTTCCCAATGACTACCCGGTGGTGATGATGATGATGATAATGAGTACGATGATGGTCAAGCTGATAAAAGGGGGTTAAAAAAGAAGGGTTGAGTTGAAACAAGAAAGTAGATTAAGAGAAAGAGAGAAGAGAACAAACGCCGGTCGGGAGAATAGTGTTCAGTAAAACTCTCTGAAAACTGTCTCTTTCTCTCTCCCTCTGAGAATCGGGCTGGGCTGGAACGTCTGCTGTGTCGGCAAATGAGAGAGAGAGAGAGAGAGAGAAAATGAGAATGAAAATGAGAGAGAAAGGCAGTGCAGAATACAGTCAGTCAGTGAGTGT